GGTTCGGGATTTGGAAGAGTTTGAGTTGAAATCGGAACACTTGGTTCGTTAAGGTTGGCTTAAAAGGCCAAGTTTGACTTCGGTCAACATTTTGAGCAAACGACCTCGGAATTCGGATTTGAAGGTTCCAACAGGTTCGTACGATAATTTCGGACTTGAGCGTATGCTCGAATCGGGTTTCAGATGACCCGAGAGCTTTTTGGTGCCTAAGAGTGAAAGTTGATTCCTTAAGGATTTTTAAGTTCTTAAATATTTGGTTTGGAGCGGGTATTTGTGTCATGAGGTTCGAATGGAATTTCGAGATCGAGAATAGTTTCGTATTGTCATTTAAGACTTGCACGCAAAATTTAGTGTCAATCCGAGTAGTATAAGTGTGTTTCGTCGCATTGGATGTGAATTGAAGAACTTGAAGTTCATAAGTTTGATCCAATTGGTTTTAGGGGGTGATTCATAGATTTAGCGTTGCTTCAGGCGTTCCGAGGGTTCGAGCGAGTCCGTTTTATGATTTCAAACTTGTCGGTATGTTCGGGCGGGCCTGGGGGCCCCGAGCGTCAATCGGACGAGGCTCGAGTTGAGTTGGAAAACTTGGGAAAGGGCTGAAGCTACAGTTTGCTGTCATAACCGCACATGCGGTTGAACAGCCGTAGGTGCGAGACCGCAGGAGCGGTCCACCCACCGCAGAAGCGACTCCTTTTTCGCAGGAGCAGGACCGCAGAAGCGGCCCCAGACCGCAGATGCGGCCCCCAGCCAACCCAAGCAAAGTCCGCAGATGCGGACACTCCCTCGCAGAAGCGAGACCGCAGATGCAGTCCCCTAACCGCAGGTGCGAAAATCGCTAAAGGCGATGCCTTCATTTAATACGGGAATGTGTCATTTTTGACACATTTCACTCATTTGTTTTGGCGATTTGGGAGCTTCCAAGAGGGGATTTCAACCTAGCCATTGTGAGGTAAGTTACTCCTACTTAATGTGAGTTTAATACTTGGTTCTTGGGTAGATTAACACCTAAAGAATTTTTAGAAATCATGGGATTAGAGTAAAACCTAGGGTTTTGATTAAAACAAGATTTTGCCACGAAATTTGTTATGGAATGAAGTAAAAATTATATATTCTTAATCCTTAGGTTATGGGTAACAACTTCCCTCGAGAATTTTCGGAATCCGGGCACGTGGGCCCGGGGATGGGTTTTAGGAAACTTGTGTTTAGGGTTGGAAAATTGCTTTAATAATTAGAATATGAACTCTTGAGCTTGTATTGACTAGTTCTTACCCCGTTTGATTAGTTTTGGATCGTTTGGCTCCGAATTGAGGGTTTAAGCGCGTTCTTGATATTGGAAGTAAATAAATGTATGTGATTGTCTATGAGGGGCTACGTACGTACGTGATGACGAGAGTCCATGCGTAGCTACTATTATGCTAATTGTCCGGGTAGTTTAGGACTCGTATCAAGCCATATTTGTTATTGCTTACGTTCTTGCTTGCTACTGAGGTCACTTAGGACATGGTAGGGATTGAAATAAATATAAATGAATGTACGCACTTACTTGAGAAATTGTATGAACTTATTTGACTATAAATGCGCCCTTATGTGCCTTCTTGATAATAATTGCTATATGTGGATCGGGCCGATCGCCTCGGTAGAAATAGATGCATCTATGGTTCGCGCCATTCGACCCTCTGGCAGTGCACAGTTATTATTATGTTGGACTCGGCATAATGTGCGCATGATATTTATGTGGAATTTACCATGATTTACTCTATTTAAAAGCCTTGAAATATAAGTTATTGCATGACGCGACTGAATTCGATATATAGACATATTGGTGCTCCTTGTTCTAAATCTGTCATTTTCTACATGCCATCCATGCTTAGTGTAACCCTTATATATTTTTGATATTGACCTTAGTAAGTGTCATGTCGATCCCTCGTCACTACTTCTTCGAGGTTAGACTAGATACTTGCTGGGTACAGTTGTTTATGTACTCATACTACGCTTCTGTACTTGAATGTAAAGGATCTGAGGCAGGTACATCTAGCTACTAGTCCGGCGCCGGTCCCTTATTTGACCGAGATTCCACGGTGAGCTGCCCCTCCGAGCTATTCAGCAGCATACCGGAGTCTCTTCTTTTTGTTATTACTGTCTATTCTGTTTCAGACAGTAGGATAGTTATATTTTTTGCATATTCTACTAGTTGCCCTAGTACTTGTGACACTAGATCCTGGCACACACATTAGTAGACTATCATTTTGGGTTGTACTTATATTATTACGAAATTGACAATTATCGATTGTTTTAATTATAAGTTAAGGGAAATGTTGGGAATGCTTAATACAATAATTTAAAACTCGCTAGTTGTTAGGATTGGCTTGCCTAGCCACGGTGTTGGGCACCATCGTGACCTAGCATGGAATTTGGGTCGTGACAACATGGTATCAGAGCACTGGGTTCACGTAAGTCTCACAAGTCATGGGCAAACCTAATAGAGTCTTGCGGATCGGTACGGAGACGTCTGTATTTATCTTCGAGAGGTATAGGGTGTTAGGAAACTACTCTTTATTCATGTCCTATCGTGTAGTTGATGGTATACTAAATTTCCTTCTTCTATTCTCTCACAGATGGTGAGGACGGGCACGACAGACGTTCCAGACCCGGTAGGATCTACTCCCCCCGTCGCTAGAGGCCGAGGCAGAGGTCGGGGGAGAGCACCAGCCCGAGGTAGGGGACGAGGGCATCCCAGAGCTGTCCCAGTTGCACCACCGGCGTATCCTGCGGGGGATCCTATCATTGAGGAGCGGGGAGAGGTGCCCGCAGATGAGCCTACCCCGGTGGACTTTATTACCGCACCGGGTTTCCAGGAGGTCATGGGCCGTATGTTGCGGTTCATGGATACCATGACTCAGGCCGGTTTATTTCCAGCAGACCCAACTACATCTTAGGCGGGAGGGGGAGCACAGACCCCTACTGCTCAGGCTCCTGGTCATGCAGCGGCAGTTTATCAGACTCCGAGTGCACTACCCGCCGGTGGGGCTCAGCCAGTTGCTGCAGTGGTACCCGAGCCCAGACCGGCTGCGGATGGCGATCCGCAAAAGTTGTTGGACCAATGGACTAGGCTACACCCTCCTATCTTCGGAGGCGAACGTCATGAGGATGCCCAGGATTTCATTGATAGGTGTAGGGACAGACTGCATAACATGAGGATATTGGAGTCTCATAGGGTTGACTTCACTATATTCCAGCTGGAGGGCAGGGTCCGTAGATGGTGGCAGTCCTATGTTCTTGGCAGACCAGCGGGTTCTCCTTCCATTACTTGGGGTCAGTTCACACAGCTATTCCTGGATAGGTATATTCCACCCTGTGAGAGGGAAGAGCTGTGGTATCAGTTTGAGCAGCTTGAGCAGGGTCAGATGTCGGTGACCGACTATGAGGCGAGGTTTTCTTAGTTATCCCGCCATGCACTGATGATACTTCCTACTGACGCAGAGAGGGTGCAGAGGTTCGTTGCAGGGTTGCATTCTGGTATTAGGGCCAACATGGTCCAAGAGATGGAGATAGGGACTCCTTATCAGCTAGTGGTGGAGATTGCTCGGAGGATTGAGGGCTACCGTCTGAGAGGTAGGGAGCAGATGCAGCAGGACAAGAGGGCTAGATTCTCAGAAGAGTTCAGAGGTGCTCCGGCTAGGGGCAGAGGTCAGTTTGGTAGGGGTCAGCCTAGCAGGCCCCCATATTCAGCACCACCACCTCCCCGAGGTGCTCCAGCGCCCCCCTATTTTGGCGCCATTCTAGAGAGTTCTTACCGCCCTCCAGCTATCCAGGGTTCTTCCAGTGGGTATTCAGGTCCCCAGCATTCTTCTGGTTCCTACTTCAGTGCCATGCCGGAGAGTTCATACCGCCCACTGGCTATTCAGGCTTCTTCTAGTGGATCTATATGTCATCAGGGCCAGACATCAGGGAAGCAGTTCACCGCACCACGGGGTTGTTTCGAGTGCGGAGATCTGGGTCACATGAGGAGATACTGCCGCAGGCTTCGGGGCAAGGCAGTGCAGCAAGGTCAGCAGCCTATGATTTCAGCATCGGTTTCCCAACCGCCCAGAGGCGGAGGACAGACTGGTAGGGGCCGTCCTAAAGGTAGAGGCCAGGAAGGGAGGGGTCAGCCAGCTACTGCTCAGTCAGGTGGAGGCCAGCCAGCCGGTGCTCCAGCCAGATTCTATGCTATTCCGGCTAGATCAGATGCATTGGCCTCAGATGCCATTATCACAGGTATTATTTCCGTCTGCGGTAGGGATGCTTCAGTGCTATTTGATCTAGGGTCTACCTATTCATATGTGTCATCTCTGTTTGCTCATTTCCTAGATATTCCTTATGAGTCCTTGGGTACTCCTGTTCATGTGTCCACTCCTGTGGGCGATTCTGTGGTTGTGGATCGGATCTACCGGTCCTGTGTGGTCACACTATGTGGATTCGAGACTAGAGCAGACCTCCTGTTGCTTGATATGACCGACTTTGAGGTCATCCTAGGCATGGATTGGTTATCCCCATACCACGCCGTCCTAGATTGCCATGCCAAGACTGTTACTTTAGCGATGCCAGATTTGCCAAGGTTGGAATGGAAGGGTTCCTCAGTTAGTGCCTCTAGTCGGGTTATCTCATTTCTGAAGGCTCGACATATGGTCGAGAAGGGTTGTTTGGCTTATCTAGCTTATGTTCGGGACACCATCGCAGAGTCTCCGATGATCGATTCAGTTCCAATAGTCCGGGAGTTCGCCGATGTGTTTCCTTCTGATCTTCCTGGCATGCCACCGGATCGTGATATTGATTTCTGCATTGATTTGGCTCCAGGTACCCAGCCTATATCCATCCCACCGTACCGTATGGCTCCAAAAGAGTTGAAGGAGTTGAAAGAGCAGCTTGAGGAGTTGTTAGCAAAAGGGTTTGTTAGACCGAGTGTGTCACCTTGGGGTGCCCCAGTGTTATTTGTGAAGAAGAAGGATGGGACCATGCGAATGTGCATTGACTACCGCCAGTTGAACAAGGTCACTATCAAGAACAAGTACCCTTTGCCGCGCATTGATAATTTGTTCGACCAGTTGCAGGGTGCCAGGGTGTTTTGTAAGATCGACTTGAGATCAGGGTATCATCAGCTGAGGATTCGGGACTCAGATGTCCAGAAGACTGCCTTCCGTACTAGATATGGCCATTATGAATTCCTGGTGATGTCCTTCGGCTTGACTAATGACCCAGCAGCGTTTATGGACTTAATGAACAGGGTGTTTAGGCCTTATATTGATTCCTTTGTTATTGTCTTCATTGACGATATATTGATATACTCGCGTAGCCTGGGGGAGCACGAGCAGCATTTGAGAGTAGTGCTTCAGACATTGCGAGAGCAGAAGCTATATGCTAAGTTCTCCAAGTGTGAGTTTTGGCTTGAGTCAGTGGCATTCTTGGGGCATGTTGTGTCAGGAGAGGGTATTAAGGTGGATCCCAAGAAGATCGAAGCGGTTCAGAGTTGGCCACGCCCTACTTTAGTGACCGAGATCCGGAGTTTCCTGGGGTTGGCAGGTTATTATCGCCGATTCGTGCAGGGCTTTTCATCCATCGCAGCACCTTTGACCAGATTGACCCAGAAGGGTGCTCCTTTCCGCTGGTCCGATGATTGTGAGACGAGCTTCCAGAGGCTCAAGACAGCTTTGACTACAGCACCGGTTCTAGTGTTGCCTTCCGGTTCGGGGACGTATACGGTGTATTGCGACGCTTCACGCGTCGGCTTGGGTTGTGTATTAATGCAGGTGGGGCGAGTTATTGCATATGCTTCACGTCAGCTGAAGATTCATGAGAAGAATCACCCTGTGCACGATCTAGAGTTGGCCGCGATTGTTTATGCTCTTAAGATATGGAGGCATTATCTGTATGGGGTGTCCTGTGAGGTTTATACTGATCATCGCAACTTATAGCATTTGTTCAAGTAGAGGGATCTCAATTTGAGGCAGCGTAGATGGCTTGAGTTATTGAGGATTATGACATCACCATTCTTTATCGTCCGGGCAAGGCAAATGTGGTCGCAGATGCCTTAAGAAGGAAAGCAGAGAGTATGGGCAGTTTGGCATTCATTCCAGCAGAAGAGAGGCCACTAGCTTTGGACGTTCAGTCCTGTGCTAACAGACTCGTGAGGTTGGATATTTCAGAGCCCAGCCGAGTCCTTGCATGCGTTGTTGCCCAATCTTCATTATTGGGGCAGATCAAGGCTCGGCAGTTCGATGATCCGCATTTGGCAGTTCTTAGAGAGACGGTGCTGCAAGGTGGTGCCAAGGAGGTTTCTATTGGCGAGGATGGTGCTCTGCGACTCCAGGGTCGCTTATGCGTTCCTAATGTCGATGGCTTGAGGGAGAGGATTCTAGAGGAGGCACACAGTTCGCGATATTCTATTCATCCAGGTGCTACGAAGATGTATCGTGACATGAGACAACATTATTGGTGGCGGCAAATGAAGAAAGACATAGTTGAGTACGTGGCTAGGTGCTTGAATTGCCAGCAGGTTAAGTATGAGCACCAGAGGCCAGGTGGTCTACTTCAGCAGATGCCTATACCAGAGTGGAAGTGGGAGCGCATTACTATGGACTTCGTTATTAGGTTTCCGCGGACATTGCGGAGGTTTGATGCAGTTTGGGTCATTGTCGACAGGTTGACCAAGTCGGCACACTTCATTCAGGTGGTGACTACTTATACTTCAGAAAGGTTGGCCCAGATCTACATTTGGGAGATAGTTCGGTTGCACGGTGTGCCTGTTTCCATCATATCAGATAGAGGTTCTCAGTTCACTTCCCATTTCTGGAGAGCCGTACAGAGTGAGTTAGGAACCCGGGTAGAGCTCAGCACAACATTTCACCTGCAGACCGACGGGCAGTCGGAGTGGACATTTCAGATTTTGGAGGACATGCTTAGAGCATGTGTGATTGACTTTTGAGGGCAGTGGGATCAGTTCCTACCTTTGGCTGAGTTTGCTTACAACAACAGTTATCAGTCCAGCATCGAGATGGCTCCATTTGAGGCTTTATATGGTCGGCGATGTCATTCTCCTATCGGGTGGTTTGAGCCTGGTGAGGCTAAGTTATGTGGTACGGACTTGGTGAAAGACGCCTTGGAGAAGGTAAAGTTGATTCAGGAGAGACTTCGCACAGCTCAGTCCAGATAGAAGAGTTATGCAGATCAGAAGACGCGGGATGTATCATTCATGGTCTGCAAGAAGGTTCTCTTGAAAGTCTCGCTGATGAAGGGTATTATGAGATTCGGGAAGAAGGGCAAGTTGAGCCCCAGGTTTATAGGCCCTTTTGAGGTGTTGAGGCGAGTTGGGGAGGTTGCCTATGAGCTTGCTTTACCTCCCATCTTGTCGGGAGTTCATCCAGTTTTTCACGTATCTATGCTTCGGAGGTATCACACCGACTATGTATTAGACTTCAGTACTGTCCAGCTAGATGAGAGCTTGGGATACGAGGAGGAACCGGTTGCCATTATTGATAGACAGGATCTCCAGTTGAGATACAAGAAGATTTCTACAGTAAAGGTCCAGTGGAGGGGCCAACCAGTCGAGGAGGCGACCTGGGAGTCTGAGGAGGACATACGGAGAAGATATCCGCACTTATTCAGCACTTCAGGTATGAATCTAAACCCGTTCGAGGACGAACGTTTGTTTAAGAGGTGGAGAATGTAACGACCCGACTGGTCGTTTTGCTTTCTAGAACCCCGTTCCCCTAAATAAGACTTCCCATACTTGCTTTTACTGATTTATGACTTGCGGGGATGGTCGGTTCGGGATTTGGAAGAGTTTGAGTTAAAATCGGAACACTTGGTTCCTTAACGGCTTAAAAGGCCAAGTTTGACTTGGGTCAACATTTTGAGCAAACGACCTCGGAATCTGGATTTGAAGGTTCCAACAGGTTCGTATGATGATTTCGGACATGGGTGTATGCTCGGATCGGATTTTGGATGACCTAGGGGCGTTTTGGCGCCTAATAGTGAAAGTTGATTCCTTAAGGATTTCTAAGTTCTTAAATATTTTGTTTGGAGAGGGTTTTTGTGTTATCGAGGTCTGAACGGAATTCCGAGACCGGCAATAGTTCCGTATTGTCATTTAAGACTTGCACGCAAAATTTGGTATCAATCCGAGTAGTATAAATGTGTTTCGTCGCATTGGATGTGAATTGAAGAACTTGAAGTTCATAAGTTTGATCCAATTGGTTTTAGGGGGTGATTCGTAGATGTAGCGTTGTTTCGGGAGTTCCGAGGGTTCGAGCGAGTCTGTTTTATGATTTCAAACTTGTCGGTATGTTCGGGCAGGGCCCGGGGGCCCCGAGCATCAATTGGACGAGGCTCGAGTTGAGTTGGAAAACTTGGGAAAGGGCTGAAGCTACAGTTTGCTGTCATAACCGCACCTGCGGTTGAACAGCCGCAGGTACGAGACCGCAGGAGTGGTCCACCCACCGCAGAAGCGGCTCCTTTTTCGCAGGAGCGGGACCGCAGAAGCGGCCCCAGACCGCAGATGCGGCCCCCAGCCAACCCAAGCAAAGTCCGCAGATGCGGGCACTCCCTCGCAGAAGCGAGACCGCAGATGCGGTCCCCTAACCACAGGTGCGGAAATCGCTGAAGGCAGTGCCTTCATTTAATACGGGAATGTGTCATTTTTGACACATTTCACTCATTTGTTTGGGCGATTTGGGAGCTTCCAAGAGGGGATTTCAACCTAGCTATTGTGAGGTAAGTTACTCCTACTTAATGTGAGTTTAATACTTGGTTCTTGGGTAGATTAACACCTAAAGATTTGTAGAAATCATGGGACTAGAGTAAAACCTAGGGTTTTGATAAAAACAGGATTTTACCACGAAATTTGATATGGAATGAAGTAAAAATCATATATTCTTAATCCTTAGGTTATGGGTAACAACTTCCCCCGAGAATTTCCGGAATCCGGGCACGTGAGCCCGGGGATGGGTTTTAGGAAACTTGTGTTTAGGGTTGAGAAATTGCTTTAATAATTAGAATATGAACTCTTGAGCTTGTATTGACTAGTTCTCACCTCGTTTGATTAGTTTTGGATCGTTCGGCTATGAATTGAGGGTTTGAGCGCGTTCTTGATATTGGAAGTAAGCTTTGGAGCAAGGTGAGTCTCATTTCTAACCTCGTAAGAGGGAAATAAACCCCTAAGTGAATTAAATGAATGAATGTGATTGTCTGTGGGGGCTACGTACGTACGTGGTGACGAGAGTCCATGCGTAGCTACTATTATGCTAATTGTCCGGGTAGTTTAGGACTCGTATCATGCCATATTTGTTATTGCTTACGTTCTTGCTTGCTACTGAGGTCACTTAGGACATGGTAGGGATTGAAATAAATATAAATGAATGTACGCACTTACTTGAGAACTTGTATGAACTTATTTGATTATAAATGCGCCCTTATGTGCCTTCTTGATAATAATTGCTATATGTTGATCGGGCCGATCGCCTCGGTAGAAATAGATGCATCTATGGTTCGCGCCATTCGACCCTCTGGCAGTGCACAGTTATTATTATGTTGGGTCGGGCCGTACGACCTCGGCATAATGTGTGCATGATAATTATGTGGAATTTACCATGGTTTACTCTGTTTAAAAGCCTTGAAATGTAAGTTATTGCATGACGCGACTGAATTCGATATATATACATATTGTTGCTCCTTGTTCTAAATCTGTCATTTTCTACATGCCATCCATGCTTAGTGTGACCCTTATATATTATTGATATTGAGCTTAGTAAGTGTCAAGCCGACCCCTCGTTACTACTTCTTCGAGGTTATACTGGATGCTTGCTGGGTACATATTGTATATGTACTCATACTACGCTTTTGTACTTAAATGTACAGGATCCGGGGCAGGTACATCTAGCTACCAGTCCGGCGCCGGTCCCTGATTTGACCGAGATTCCACGGTGAGCTGCCCCTCCGAGCTATTTAGCAGCATATCGGAGTTTCTTCTTTTTGTTATTACTATCTATTCTATTTCAGACAGTAGGATATTTACATTTTTTGTGTATTCTACTAGTTTCCTTAGTACTTGTGACACTAGATCCTGGCACACACATTAGTAGACTATCATTTTGGGTTGTACTTATATTATTACGATATTGGCAATTATCGATTGTTTTAATTATAAGTTAAGGGAAATGTTGGGAATGTTTAATACAATAATTTAAAACTCGCTAGTTGTTAGGATTGGATTGCCTGGCCATGGTGTTGGGCGCCATCGCGGCCTAGCGTGGAATTTGGGTCGTGACAAGTATAAAATATAAATACAAAGCTTCTAAGAATATTTAAGAAATGAGATAATATCAAAAATATATCAAGTTTCATCAACTATCCCAAAGAAACAAAATTACTCCATTATGGAGTAAAAAAAGCTAAAAATGAGTTTAAGAAGACTAGAAATATTTAAAAGACTAAGAAAATATTTTGCTACAAGGAAAGAAAAGAAAGAGATCAAGGCTTGTTCTTGTGTCTTGCAAAAGATTGGATGACTATTATACAAATTAAAGAGAGCCTGCTTTTTGTAGGAAAAGATGAGTAGCTTTTGTCATGTTCCACTTTTGATGTGAAATCCATATATGCAATGGTAGCCTTTGTGTATGTAGATTCATATATACAACTATGGCATTTTTGTTTCACTCTTGACTTCATGAGTAACTAGACTTGCAAATGTAGGTTCCATGCATGCAAATATGACTTTTGCGTATATAGATTCCACATATGCAGCTATGCTCCTTTTCATCTGTAGTTGTCTCTTTCCGTAATTCCCATATATGTATTCCACATTTACGAATATGAAGACGATGTGTGCAACTGTGGCTTTACTTCTTTCTCTTGTCTTCCTACAAGACTTGTTAGAAAATATATGAGGATAGGATATCATTATTCATATTTTTATTTTAATTATATATAAAATTACATGAATAATTTATATCCATCACATGTCAAATATATACTCCCTCCGTTTCAACTTATGTGAATCCATTTGACTGGACACGGAGTTTAAGAAAAGAGAGAAGACTTTTGAACTTGTGTTGTAAAATGAGACACATATATTTTGTGTAGCTGTAAATCATTTCATAAAGGTAAATTGTTTCCAAATAAGGAAGGGGGTCATTCTTTTTGGCACGAACTAAAAAAGAAAATAGGTTCACATAGATTAAAACGGAGGGAGTCGTATTTATATTTGAGTCAAACTATAATATTTGGGTCACTTTGTTATCCTAAAAGAAACAAAAGTGACTTTGATAGAATATTTTCATAAGTTGGGTGACCAACAACATCATCAACAACAATAACAACAACGACCTAGTAAAATCTCACAAGTGGGGTCTGGAGAAGGTAGTGTGTACGCAGACCTTATCCCTACCGGGAGTTGAGAGGTTGTTTCTGATAGACCCTCGGCTCAAGAAGACGAAAAGAGACAATATATCAGTACCATCAACAAAAATCATAAAAATACTAACTACATCATAAGAACCAGGAAATAGATGAAAAGCAAAAATAATAACCAGTAAATAAGGCCCAACACTATGAAAATAGAAGAATAGTGTGAACACAACATTGACCACTAGCAATCTAAGACAAAATCCTATCAGACTAGCCTCGCACTGGTACGAATTAGAAATGCTCAACTACTGTGATGACCCAAAAGGTTATTTTGAGTTTTAGCCTTTATTTCTGTGTTCCAAGACCTCGATTAGCTCAGTTTAACGTGTCTCGATTTGCGTGTGCAGTCCGTGTCTTTTTTTTTTCATAAATTTTTTATGTGAAAAATTTAAGAAAATGTGAATTTTTTGTCTTTAAAATGATATGAGTTGACTACGGTCAACATTTTATATAAACTGACATGAATCAGTGTTTTAACGGTCTCGGTAGGTCCGTATCGTGATTTGGGACTTGGGCGTATGCTCGGAACTGAATTCGGAAGTCCCTATCATGTTTTGCTTCATTTTTCCTAAAACTAGCATTTTTGAAAGTTGAAGAATTCCTAAATTTGACCGTAAGTTGACTTCTTAGCTATGGGTTCAGATTTTGATACTAAAACTTGGAATAGTTCTGTATTTCTATTTGAAAAATGTCTGCAAATTTTGGTTCAACTCAGGATTGATTTGACATGATTCAGACACTTAAACGTGATTCTAGTCTTCTTGGTTTCACTTTGAAAGTTCATTCATTTTGAGGATTGATTCGAAGATTTAGATGTTATTTTGGTAATTTGATTATGCGAGCAATTTAATATGATGTTATTACACTTGTGTGCATGTTTGGTTTGGAGCCCGAGGGGCTCGGGTGAGTTTTTGACATGTTTCGGATGAGTTTAGCTAAGGCTAGGACTGCTCGTGCAATGCCATTTCTGGTGAACTGCTGCAGATCTCACAATTGCGAGCCTCGCTTTTGTGATGATTCACATTTGCGAACATGGTCTGGCCTGGGTGGACTTGCATTTGCGAGAAATATGTTGGCATTTGCGAACTTGACCGTGACCGCAATTGCGATCAAAGAGTCGCATTTGCGACTCAGCAGCTCTCGAGCAGGCTTCGCATTTGCGAAGCAATAGTACACAATTGCGAATGGTGGGTGTTCGCAATTGCGAACCAAAATATCGCATTTGCGATGACTTTTCTTCTGAGACAGGGTTCGCATTTGCGACCCCTTTCTCACATATGCGATGTTCACAATTGCGACCCCTTTCTCGCATATGCGAACAAGACATCGCAATTGCAACATCCACAACTTGGTAAAAGAGGGAAAAATGAGATTTAGCTCATTTCTCACAAACCTAGAGGCGATTTTCCACGAGATTTTTCTTCCTAAATTCATTGGTAGAGTGACTTTAATCCATTGCTTTTCAATTACCCATTACATTTCATGAGATTTCAACATCAAATTTAGGATTTCTATGGTAGAAATTAGGGATTTGAGTAGAGGGAATTTTTGTAAAATTGAGATTTAGACCTCGAGTTGAGGTTGGATTTCAAAACAATCACATAACCGGGCTCGGGGGTGAACGGGTAATCGAGTTTTTGTCCGAATCTCGATTTTGACCAAGCGGGCCCGGGGTTGACTTTTTAAAAATTATCTAAATTAAAACTCTTTCATTCGTGGGGTAGTTTCTAAAGCTTATTTTGAATCCTTTGGTCAATAATTTTCTAGATTTGGAGGTTTTTTCGAAAGGCAAGGCCGTGGTTGAACTTTGAGTTGATTGCAGAGTGAGGTAAATGTTTGGCCTAACCTTGATTTGAGTGAATTAGGGACCCTTGAACTTCTTGTTATGGGCATTATATGAGAAACAATGTATATGCGAGGTGACAAGTGTATATGCATCGTTGTATTACTTGTTTCCATGCCTTTGTTTCTTTATTGTATATCTTGTTACATGCCTTAATTGTTATATTCTTGTTTGACTTTCATGCCATATTTTCCACTCACCATTTAGTATTCCTTTTATTAAATTGTCCATTCTTTCTATAATTCCATGCTTATTTACTACTTGTCTCTATTTGCTTTCTTGCATATCTAAATTGTCTTATGCCTTGTTTGTCTTGTAGTTTCGTATCATTTGTTGCCTTCAATAATGTAGTTTCATTTGTATGAATTGTTAATGGGCAGATACTATTGAGTTGGTAAAGCTGAGACCTCCGAGTTGTTTGAGATTCTTTGATTATCATGTTATTCTCCATTGCTCGTACATTTATCCTCTTGATGTAGAATTTCTTGTAAATCTTGGTTGTTGAATTGCCTTTGTTGATTGAAATTATTTGGGGAGCGGGTTGCACGTCGCAACGGAAATTGAAAGGTAATGAATTGAAATGGCGGAATAAGGACGGGTTATAACATTGATAGATGATAATATGGTGGGATCGGGTTGCGCGCCGCAACAGATTGTTTAACGTTGATACCGTGGGATCGGGTTGCATGCCGCAACATATTGATTAAAATTATACTTATTTGTGACTGTTGGATTAGCCTCAGTAGTCGAGAAAAAGCTTATATGACTGGGTGTTTTGGACTCTCTGTTAGTTGGGTTTGAGTTCATTGTTAAGAATTAACTACTTTACTTCCTTTCATGTCTTTCTATTATTATTATTATTATTATTATTATTATTATTATTATTATTATTATTATTATTATTATTATTATTATTATTATCATCATTATTATTATTATTATTATTATTATTATTATTGCGTACAAGTTAATGTAAGTGACCCATCTTAGCCTCGTCACTACTTCATCGAGGTTAGGCTCGACACTTACAGAGTACATGGGGTCAGCTGTACTCATACTACACTCTACACTTCTTGTGCAGATATCGGAGTTGGTCCCAACAACGTTCAGTAGACTAACTCAGATCCAGCTATTCAGTGGAGACTTGAGGTTTGGCTGCACGGCGTCTGCAGCTGTGAAGTCCTCTTCTACTTCATTTTCAACTGTTTGCTTTAATTTGAACAGTTATGCTTACTTAAGACTTTTATTTGTAGTATTCTAGACGCTTATGTACACGTGACACCAAATCCGGGATTTGTATTTGATTTTCGTCACTTATTAGTTTATTACCTTATTTCAGACTATTCAGTTTTATTATTGTCATTTAATTTGAAAATTGTTAAAAATGGTTAATATCTATATCTAACGTTGGTTTGCCTAGCAAGGGAAATGTTAGGCGCTACCATGGTCCTGAGGGTGGGATTCCGGGTCGTGACAAGTTAGTATCACAACATTAGGTTGCCTAGGTCTTACGTGTCATGAGCAAGCTTAGTAGAGTTTGGAGGATCGGTAAGGAGACATCTATACTTATCTTCCAGAGGCTACGGAGTTTAGGAAAAAATTCTCTTCTTTGTTTCTCTATCATGCGATTGCATTTTATCATCAATGATTGAACCATTGTATTCTTGTTCTCTTGCAGATGGCGAGGAAACGCGCAACATCAGCAGCCGGACAAGAGCCGGAGCCCCGTGTGGCAGCTACTCCCAGGTGCAGAGGTCGAGGCTGAGGTCGAGCCAGAGGCCGAGGCTTAGGCAGAGCTCAGCCTATAGCTCGAGCAGCAGCACCCGCACTGGAGCCTCAAATTGATCATGAGGAAGAGGTCGCAGCTCCGACCGTACCCGTCAGACCAACTCAGGTCCCGTAGGGATTCATAGCCACTCCAGTGCTTTAGGATGCTCTAGTCCGCTTGGTGAGCCTTATGGAGAGTGTAGCCTAGAGGTGCATTTCCGGTGGCACCAGCCGTCTCTCGGGCACGGGGAGGAGCACAGACTCCTGCTACTTACACTCCGGAGCAGGTGGATCCCCTATATCAGACTCCATCAGCCTAGCCAGTTGGGGTGGTTCAGCCGGTTGTTGTGGCACAGGTCGGTGACTTGCCCGCTATGTCTTCTGAGGCCTTTATGAGGCTGGATAAATTTGCCAAACTCTTTCCTGTTTATTTCAGTAGTGCATCTTCTGAGGACTCACAGGATTATCTGGACCGTTGCCACTAAGTGTTGCGTAACATGGGTATAGTTGAGACTAATAGGGTCGACTTTATAGTGTTTCAGATGACTGGTTCTGCTAAGAGATGGTGGTTAGATTACATGTTAACTAGACCAGCTGGTTCACCTGCACTCACTTGGGACCAGTTTTCACAGCTATTTCTAGAGAAGTTCACTCCTCTCACTCTGAGAGAGAGGATTACCGCAGGCAGTTTGAGCGTCTTCAGCAGGGTAGCATAACCGTCACCCAGTATGAGACTCGATTTGTGGACCTAGCTCTCCATGCCTTTGTTTTACTCCCTACTGAGAGGGAGAGAGTGAGGAGATTCATTGATGGACTCACTTTCAGTATCAGGCTACAGATGGCCAAGGAGACGGGGGACAATATTTCTTTCCAGAGGGCCGTAGATATTGCTAGACGAATTGAGATGGTTCGTGGTCAGGAGAGGGGCCGGTGTCTAATAAGAGGCCTCGTCACTTTGGTGGTTTCAGTGGTGCCTCATCTGGAGGCAGGGGTTCTTTTGGTAGAGGCCATCCTCCTAGGCCGATTCAGTTAGCTCGCCAGGTAGCCCACAGTGCTTCGGGCGGTCGTGGTTTTTATGGGTCTCGTCTCGAGCAGCCAACATTCAATGCACATTCAACTCCTGTCAGTGCACCACTACTTCAGAGTTACTACATCGGCTATTCGGACCGTTAGGGTCAGTCTTCATTTCAGCAGCCTCAGCATTCGGGGGAGTGCTTTGAGTGTGGGGGCATAGGTCACATCAGGAGGTATTTCCCTATATTGTCGAGCAACAGATCTCAACAGGGTTCTCATGCCATCATACCGGCCGGTTGCTCCACCACCCACGCAACCAGCTAGAGGCGGGGGTCAGATCGTTAGAGGTAGAGGTCAGGCCATTGGAGGTGGAGGTCATTAGAGGTTGGGCCAGCCAGCTAGGGGTCACTAGAGGGGCGGAGGTCAGAGTGGTGGGTGGGGCCCATCCCCGTTTCTATGCATTCCTAGCTAGACCTGAGGCCAAGTCATCTGGCTCCATCATCACAGGTATTGTTCCAGTTTGCCATAGAGATGCTTCAATTCTATTTGATCCGGGTTCTACTTATTCCTACGTGTCATCCTATTTTGCTTCATGTCTGATTGTGCCTCGTGATTCTTTGAGTGCTCCTATATATGTGTCCATGCCTGTTGGAGATTCTATTATTGTAGATCATGTGTCACGACCCAAAATCCAACTAGTCGTGATGGCACCTAACCTGACCCGCTAGGTAAGCGAATTTACAACTATCCAATTTAATGAGATTTATTGAGACAAATAAACTACATTTCCCAAGTACTGGTAGTACAAATCATGAGCTTATAAGATTTAGAGTTTACAAAGCTGGTATGAAATAAATACATCATCTGTTTGAAATATACATGAACTAATTAAAATGCTAAAGATACCAAGGACAAGAGGCAGATAGGACTGAACGCAGGTACATCTTCAAATCCAGCTCCGGCTGTACACAACAACATCAACATCCAACATCTGCACGCAAGGTGCAGAAGTGTAGTATGAGTACAACCGACCCCATGTACTCAATAAGTAACAAACCTGACCTTAAGTTGAAAGTAGTGATGAGCTGGAACAAAGGTCGAAGTCCAACACCAATAGTCAATAATAGTTCATAACATAATAACAGTGCTAAAAGAAGTAACTCAGAGATAAAATGCTCAACTATTTCACAGTTCTGAAAAATAGGCATGCTTTTCAAGTATCTCAGTGAAAATCCAAACATTTATCGAAATCACCAAAAATATGAGTAAGTTTGTAAAACTGTGATTTTTCCCAAAAGCTTTCAACAGGTAAATGTTTCATTTTCAAATGGCCTGAGAAAAATACATCTCTATGCCTACATGTCAATGTATGCATGCCAACTGTAATACCATGCAGTGATAAAACCTTATGCATACTCTCGGTGCATTAATGCACTCGGCCAATCAGTCCTCACAGCCACTCAGTCCTCCCAATCACTCGGCACTCGTGCTCGACACTCGGCACTCGCACTCAGTAGGTACCTGCGCTCACTGGGGGTCTGTACAGACTCCGGAGGGGCTCCTTTAGCCCACGTGCTATAATCAACCAATCATGGCATAAATCAATAATATCAGCTGCGGCGTGCAACCCACTCCCATAATAGATCTGTATTCCCGAAATTGAATTTGGAAGTCCCTAACTTGCTTTGACTCATTTTGCCGAAACCTAGCATTTTTGAAAGTTGAAGAATTCCTAAATTTGACCATAAGTTGACTTATTAGCTAACAGGTTCGGATTTTGATGTTAAAATTGGAATAGTTCCGTATCTAAAAGCTTAAGCTGTTTTAGAGAGCACACTTCTATTTACTTAATTATATTTTCAATACTCCCCCTCATGTGCGGGCTAGATTTTTTTGATGAGCCAAGCACGTGAAAATTATTTTTGATATTGGATGGCGGTGAGACTCGAACCCAGGACCTCTGTCTGCTCTGATACCATATTGAAGCGCGTGAGCATCTCATCTAAAAGCTTAAGTTATTAGAGAAAGCACACTTTTATTTACTTAATTGTGTTTCAACATTAGCTTTATCATGTGAGGGCATTATTTTCAGAGTGGCCAAGCATAAGGTTTTAACTCTCAAAACAGCTACTTATCAATTTGGACCAGGTTTCATAGTCTTTGGCTAGTTACTGGAAAATAAATATACATAATCATTGACAAAACTATCTTAATTTTATTTATTATGCCTAATGAAATTCCATTGAATCTAATCAAAACCAAATTTTGAAGAATATTTTGAACCATTAACTTCCAGCTCTGTGATGATATGAGTATCTACTCCAGGAAAACTAGTCTCAATCGATCCAGCTATCTCAAAAACATAATGAGGCTAGAGTAAGAATTGACCGGTAAAGAGAAGATATATTGATCTATATATGTTACAAAGAAACTATAAGGAGAAAGAAACAGATTTGGAAGATTGTTTCCCTATGAATGACATATCAAGATCAAGAAAAAGCCAAATTAGTGTAACAGCTCTGACCTATTCCCAAACAGCATTCTGTTTACTTATTTGTTTGCACTCATCAGGAGAGTCCTATATATGCCTAACACAGCCTGCTTCAAACATCATAGCAATTCAGAGAGTTTAGAAAAACATACAACTTGAATTTTGTAACTCAATATATCTTCCACAGACAAGAAAGATGAAGGGAATCATTATTTCAGCAATTGCAGTATTGGCCATGATTCAGTTCATGGTTGAGCCAGGGCAGGCTCTTACTTGTGGTCAAGTGGATGCTTCTTTAGCACCTTGTATCCCTTACCTTACTCAGGGTGGTGATCCAAATGCAGCTTGCTGTAATGGTGTGAAGGCGTTAGAAGGTATGGCTCAAAACACTGCTGACAAGACGGCTGCATGTAATTGTGTCAAGGCTGCTGCCAACAGGTATGCAAATTTGAAGGAAGACGCTGCCCAGGCTCTCCCTACCAAGTGTGGTGTAACATTGGACATTACTGTTTCTAAGACCGTCAACTGTGACCTGTAAGATTTATTTTCTGCTTTTCAAGATAATTTTCACCTTTCATGTGATTCTTCAACTACATTCACTTTTGAGTTATGACTGGTTATATTATTATCATCCATTTGCAGGATCAACTGATATTTAGGTCATTGATGATGACAGTGTAGAAGAAATAAAGAGAGGAAGACTCACCGACTTCATATTTTGTTCTATCTTTTTTCAAATAATAGTCCAAGTGATAAAAGAACTACTGCTTGTAATGATCAAATTAAAGCCTTACCAAACTTGATAGCTTGTAGCATTTCAGCACTTCCAAATTTAATGAACGACGATATAGACATTTTGATATGTTTGCTTTTGCTTCATACTCATTCCTACGATTGATTATTTACTCTATTCATGCTCTATAATTCTCTTCTCCATTCATTCTTAAAGGTGTTTGATCAAAAATATAGATCTTGGTTCAACCAATTAGATTTAAATAAAGGAGAGTCAATCTTAGCTAATAATAATATCCTAAAGACAAGGTTACCGGTTTAATGACAAATAACTTGTATATTCGTCCGGATGATAATGAATGTAAGCAATAATAACAGTGTTTAATGATCCAAAAAGATGGAATACGACATTAAATATCAATAAATAGCACAAGTGGCATTTAAATAAATAAAAACGTGTGGGTCACTCATAAAGAGACGAGATCTGCGGATATTCTTTCTGACAATGATGAACGATTGATGAACCTTTGAACACTCAGGTTGTTCTTGGATCCAGTGGAAATGCTCGACAAGAATCTCAGTAAAAAGATTATTTTTGTATGCTTGTAATAGGAACAGATTTTCTCTTTAAAGTCAATGTGTTTTTTACAAATGAATATCTCCTCCCCACTATCATTGTGTCCCTTTCTACTTATAGGGAACATGTTCTTAGAAACCCTAATAGTATAGGTGCAGAAAATATCCACTAGAATATTCTTTTTAGTGTCATATCCTGAAGCTAGCCGTTATAACTCCGCAAGGATGCTCGACCTCGACCTTGATCTTTGACGACTCCTCAAGCTTGACCTTTGCTGACTCTTCAGCTGCAACCTTCATTGTTTCTAGAACCACTTCGACCTTGGGCAGGCCTTCATTGGAGTCGTATTGGTGACACATGACAGCCTGTGAATGCCTATTTAATGCTAATATGATTGAATCATATTAGAGATAATTTTTGACCCATATAGTTAGTCCCTCTGCTTATTAAGGCCGTCCTCGCAGGGGAGCTTAATGAGCAGATAATGTAGTTTTTTGGTAGAACTTATCGAGTAAGTTGCAAGAGTCGTAATCATCGTGTCGAGCAGGCTACGTGGCTCTCTATGTGCCGCATATTTCAAATACCTCATGTTTCTCGAGTGATTTGTTAGAGTTATCCTGCCCAAGGAATATAATGACGCCAAGCGTCATTATGATGCATATTTTCGATGTGTTGCCTCGATTGATGCGTGACCCTTGATTGGACCTGCCGTTTCGATTCCGGTGCCAATTATGACGAGTCGTTTTCGGGTTTAGTGCCATGATCTCTATATATTGAGGTTTTTGGACTTGAGTTTGAAGTTTGTTTCTCTAACTTTCCAAAGCACCATCCTTGTTACCATTTTCTTCTCTAAACTTCCTTTCCTCACCCTGTTGCCTTACTCAATTTCCATTCTTTCCCGCTCGTTATTCCTCTTTACTACTTTGCACCATGTATGACTTACCATCAAACGCTGGTGAAGGGAGCCGTGTTCCTCCTATAGTAGTTATGTTTCTTTCTTATGGGGAGGGTGCTTCCGCCATTGTTGACGGCGTAGCATTCCCGTCAGTGGGGGAAATAATTCCCCGCAATCCTGACGCTAGGTTCGACCTCAGCAAATTACTTACGCTGCGCCTAGAATCTTTCAATCGAAGATGACACCTATGGAATTGGCGGAACACAAGGCCAAATTCGGCCATCCAAATCACGTTGAAATAATTACGGCCGGGGAGGACGTGGTACAGATTCATCGCCCCTGATATTGCGGTCTATACGCTTATCCTTTCCCCATCGGTTATTTAATCACCATCCTTCCATTGGTGGAGGAATTATGTCATCACTTCGGCATTTTCCCCGCTCAACATGCACCGTACGTCTACAAAATTATTAGAATGCTGACCAAATTTGTTAAGCTAGCCGGGGTCGAGCTGACACTACAGCAATTGGTTCAACTTCCCCTAGCTTCTATAGGGGGACAGTACTGAATCTTCACCATCGCGGGGACAAATGTTTGGTGGTGAAGACGGATGATAAGTCCAGTTGCCAATTCTGGCTCAAGTTTTCTACGTTAGGACCGAGGACGTGGTGGCTAACGTTGATGGCTTTCTAGAGGCTTGGAATTAAACACGTAAGTGCTCGTTTTTTGTTTGCGTTCTTTTACTTACTTGGAATTAGTTGAAGGACTCTTTCTTTCCTTGCAGCCAACACTCAACCTCCCTTTTTTAATTATGTGCATTTCTGACTGAGTCGAGCAAATCCTTCCCCACGTCATAAGGATCCGCGACTAGTCGAGCTTCATCAAGAAGTTCAGACCAGCTGTTCCTTCGACAGGTAACTTTCCTTATTTGCTCATGATTGTTCCATTTTTTGTTGTATACTGACTTGTTTTGCTGACTTCGACGGTTTTTTCTTACCCAGGTAGGGGGTCCTCTCAAAGGATCCGGGCATCAGTGCCATCCTTCCGGAGGAAGGCTGATGCCCTTCAGCTTCTGCCCCCATTGCGACTACTGCCGCTTCTGTGCCGACCCCTTCCTTGGACACTGCAGTCTGAGGGCCTGGCCCCGTTTTGTCCTCTGCTTATGCTCCTCAACTCTTTTCACTTCTTGATGAGGATAATGATACTTCTCCTGAGGATGGTGGTCTAATGCCTCGTAAGAGGAGAGCCATGGATGCGGGAGGAGAAAGGCCAGTAGCCGTTGACTTGGAATAAGGTGACTTTGTTCTTCAGGAGACGGCCACAGTGTATGTTGGAGAGCACACCGGGGTGGGCTCAGAGGCCCTGCATGTCGAGGAGATGAACAAAAAGGCATCGATGCGTCCTGCGGGGGAGACGGTCGAGGACGGGACGCATGGCGATGGACTCACACTTCCGAGGCGAGAGGAGGCCTCATCTTCTCGGGCCGCAGCAGATGTCCCTTTTTCTGCTGATGACAGAGAGAAAGCCATTGCTGAAGAGGACGTCGGATCTGATTCTGACATGGATTTTGATGAGTTGAGGATAATTGACGAGGGACATACTCAACTCGAGGTAAAGTTGGAAGGGGGCTCCAGAACTATTATGATCCCAATGGATCATAATCTTCTTGTAAATACTGAGGAGGTAGTCCCTGTCCTCGGTTCTCTTTGTTTTGAGGTTGAGGTTACGACCCTCGAGACAATAAACGACAGCACTCTGTCGAATAACATTTCTGGTCTTGCTCTCCAGGTAAGTATGACTATTGTCTGTTCTTTTCCTTATGCTTTGGTTCCTTTTGTAAGTTATAATTCCCCTTCTTTGGTTTCCAGACGGTTATTCTAGAGATCGAGAGTGCTCGATAGGAGAATAGATATAAAGACATTTAAGTGAAGCTGAAAGGCAAGTACACAACGTGTCTTGGGAAGTACCGGGAGCTCCGGTGTTGGCTTCGTGAAGGCGGCAACGTGCGGGTCCTGAGGAGGACTTAAAGAAGAGGGACAAAGAGCTGATGCGGGTTGTGGAGAAATGCAGCATCCTTCAAGGGACGTTGAGGGGAAAAGTGGACGATCTTGAGCTAAGCAGGGGCGTAGAGGCCCAATGTAGCGATCTCCAAGCCCAAGTGGTCCTGCTGCGAGATCAAATCGAAGAGTGTCAGTTCAAGGTGGAGGCTTTTAGTGGCGAGGTTGCTGAGAAATATGAGGAGCTCGATAAGGCAGTGTCTACTCGGTTGAAGGTTCAGAGGAGGGTGAAGTTCCATGAAGTGACGAACCGAATCCTTCATTCTGAGAGAGAAAATGACTTATCAACGACAAGGGCTAAAGAAGAGCGACTCGATGAAAGGATTAGGGAGTTGGAAAAAGAGACCTCCGATCTTTATGATCAAGTTGCGGATCTAAGGCCGAGAAGGCCAAACTTCTTGCACGACCTTCTTCCTCAATGACTTCTGGCTTCCCAAACATTCCCTGTGATTGTATGAAGAATGGATCCATGTCGAGGCCCGATTAGATGTTCTTCTTGAGTTGCATGTGGCGGGCTCTATTTCTGCCACAAACTTTGAGGATGCTCGGGTCAAGGCTCGTGAAGCTCGGGTTTCTTACGGCTACGACCCGGCTACGCCTCGCCCTGGCGAAGGAGATGAGGATGGGGAGGATGGTGTAGATCGCCTTGAGGATGAGGTCTGGTACGACTCTATTTACCCTCCGGGCGAGGAGGGAGAGGGCATCGAAGATTGGACTAGTGAAGACGCCGTGGGTCGTGATGGCGATGGCAGTAGTAGTTTGCTTCTATAATTTTTGTGTATTTTTGCTGGCATCTTCAAGAGCCTTTGTAAGAAACCTATCTATAAATATCAAAGTTGATTTTTTGCTTTCATTTTCTCCTTTCTTGTTTGCCATGGTTTGTTCCTGTATTTTTCGTGTTTTGCTCCTTTATGCTTTAGCTGCCGTTCTTTGACTAGTCGTAGTCTTTAGGTTCAATAGATCTGGGTTGAATTACCCCTTTGTCCGTATGGATCGAGTATGTCTGCGGACCGATCGATTAGGTTTGAACTGGGTTGGACTTAGCTTCTTTTTCGGTTAAGTTTTAACCTTCTATCGAAACATATGAGGGCTGATAGGTCTCTTTTGAACTTGGTCAATTTTTAACCTTTGTTAATCGTGGCCGAGGGCCAGTAGGTGTTGTTTGAACTTGGTCGATCTTTGCCCTTTTGTTAAATGTAGGTGTTGTTCGAACTGGGTCGAACTTATCCTTTGTTACGATGCGCCGAGGGCCGATAGGTATTTGTTCGAGCTAGGTCAAACTTAACCTTTGTTAAGAAGTGGTGGAGGACCGATAGGTGTTTGTTCGATCTGGGGTGGACTTAACCTTTGTTAAGATCCGGCCGAGGGCCGATAGGCATTTGTTCGAGCTGGGTTGAACTTAACCTTTGTGACATGCGATCGAGGGCCGATAGGTGTTGTTCGAGCTGGGTCAAACTTTACCTTTTATTAATCGTGGCCAAGGGCGGATAGCTGTTGTTCGAGCTGGGTCGAACTTAACCTTTTGTTAATCGCGGCCAAGGGCCGATAGGTGTTTTTTGAGCTGGGTCGAAATTAACCTTCATTAATCATGGCCGAG